TTACAATATAAGATCGTAGAATTTGCGAGAAAATTTCGTCCGTAAACAATATGCGTGCAATAAAATATTTGCAATCTCTTTAAAATTTAACACAATGCACTTTCGTTTTCTTTAATAATTGCAAGATAATTTGTGACATTTAATTATAAAAACTCTTACTTATCTCTGTTTCTTTTTGGTTTCTATAATACTATAATTTTATTTAAAAAATTTTAATTGCTTTAATTACAAAGGCAGATTAATGAATTTCTGTTAATTTCCTTAATGCATGAGATTCTCTTCGATTCGATGCAGATACAGAAAGTAGAAATAAATCGGCTAACGATTTTTCTATAAAATTTTGAAACAAATCGTCTTATTTTGTTTTTTATTTAATTCTTTAGAAAAATCTTCAGAAACTATTCGTAGCATTATCTCTTTATGCGTTTTACGAAAATTTTACATCACTTTTTAAGTACCTTCTGCATTTATAATTTAATTCGATCGAACGTTTGCGATTCTTCATGAAGTCGAGGACTCGTACATGGATTTGTGCGTCAGATCGTAATGATTCGTTGTATAATCTTGCATGCGATCGACGTACTAATTGAACGACATCGAGTTAAACGATCGGCAAACGTGATCCATGACCCCCTCGTCCGGGCACGTCCAGAGACAAACAAATCCCGTGTTTAAGTGCATGCAGCCGAGTGTAAATTGCCACAGTGTCTCTTCAGATATCGCTCCTGGGCGAATCCGGCGCCGCAAATCGCGCAAATGTGCGAGCGCTGTTCGGTATGAGTGTGTCGATGACGGGCGACGCAGCCCTTGCTGCGGAAACGTTCGTCGCAGACGTCGCAGGTGTACGGCTTTCGGTCGGAGTGCCAGGACGCGTGTTTCTCCAATTCCTGCCTCCTCCTGAAACCGCGGCCGCACAGCGCGCAACGGTGCGGCAGGACCTGCGAATGGTAGAGTCGGTGCACGTGCAGGGACGCCTTCTGCTTGAAGGACTTGCCGCAGGTCTCGCACACGTGGGGCCTCTCGCCGGAGTGGGTACGCCTGTGCTCGTCCCTCGACGCCCGCGAGGCGAGATGACGGCCGCAAACGTCGCAGGCGAAATTCTTAATGCCGTCGTGGACGAGTCGCACGTGCCTGTTCAGACCGGACGCCGATCGGAAGCTCTTGTCGCAAGTGGAACAGACGTAGGGTCGCACGCCGGCGTGAATGTTGCGGTGAATCAGCAGATTGTACGACGTGGAAAGAACCTTCCCGCACTCTTCGCACTTGTGAGAGGCACATCCGTTATTCTCCGTCGCCTTTAAGCGAGTTAACTCGGCATGTTCCGATCGTTCCGCACATCCTTCAGAGTTTATCGTGCATTTCTCTCGGGACTTCTGCTCCTGCCCCGAGTTGTTCGGGTGAGAATCCGCCGAGTTGTCTCTTGCCGATCTTTCATCGAAATCGCCAAGATGCGTCGAGAGACCCTTCTCGCTGGATACCGTCGAACGAGCTCTCCCGACATTAATGCTTTCTTCCACGTCGGACCGCTCGTTCCTCGGCGAGCTGACTCGTGCTTGTCTCTCCGACTCGTCTTTCGACACTCGACGCGTGCATCTGAAAAGAGAGTCATCCCGTTACTTGGGGAACGACCGAACTGCGTGGCGACTCGTGGTTGAGCTTCCTATGATTAACTAAGTATCGCTTCTGGCGGAAGGAGAGGCTGCAATCGGTGCAGCGCCAGGGTTTCTCGTCGGAGTGGATCAGCCGGTGCCGCTTGAGCTCGTACTTGATGCGGAAGCGGCGACCGCACACGTCGCACGCGTGCGGCTTCTCGCCGGTGTGCTTGGTGATGTGCAGCATCAGCGGTGGTCGCGTGCGGAAGGTCTGGCCGCAGTGGCTGCACTTGAACGGAAACACGTCCGTGTGCGTGCGATTGTGCACGAACAGGGAGGCTTTCTGCTTGAACGTCTTGCCGCAGATGTTGCAGACGTACGGTCGCTCGCCCGTGTGGATGCGCCTGTGGTCCTCGACGTTGCGCCGCGTCGAGAACATGCGGCCGCACAGGTCGCACGGCACGTTCTTGATGCCGGCGTGGGTCTCCTTCAGGTGCCGCGCCAGGCCCTGGTTCACGCGAAATCGCTTGCCGCACAGGTGGCAGGTGAACAGCCGCTCGCCCGTGTGGATGCGCAGGTGCCAGTAGAAGGTGTACGGCGAGTTCAGGTTCTTGCCGCACTCGTTGCAGTGGTAGTACACCTTACCGTCGTGCTCCATTCGCGCGCGCAGCACCGTCTCCGTGGCCACGAAGGACTTCCGGCTCCTCTGCACGACCTCGGGATGCGTCTCCGCCAGATGGGCTTTCAACAGTTTCCTCTTGCCCGCGGTGTACTCGCAATGGCCGCACGGATAAACTCTGGATCGTTTCTCCGACGATTTGACCGATGACAGCCGGGGCTCTTCGTCGTCGCTTGTGCTCTTAACGTTTCCCACTAGTTGGTCCTTTCCTCTTATTATACTGTCGTCTGTCTTCTTTCTCTTCTCTGTAGCTTTGGCGCGCGTCCTCGATGAATCTTCTCCGCTGGCCGAATCATGATGGTTGCAACCCGTCACGTGGCGTATTAGATGGTGCTTTCTTTTGAAAACGCGTTGGCAGTTATCACAAGTATAGCTCTTATCTATGGATTCACTCGTTGACTGTAGAATCGTCGGTTTATTTTCTCCCCGATATCTCGAGGCGTTCGAGTCTGTCCTTGGGTTGTACTTTATTGCGTTGCAGTTATCCGACGAGTCGCGTGTCTCTCTTTTGGGAATTTCTCTAGCCTTCTCCGCAATCAGCGTCACGCTTCTCGGATTGCTTTCGTACTTTATCGCGGCTTTACGCGCCCACGGTGCAGCGCTACACGAGGAACGGTATGTCGCGAGAGATCTCTCCTCTGCTGGCTCGCACCTGGAAAAACAACAAAGGCGGCGGGTTTGAATCGGGTCTCGTCGCTGGCGCGATGACGAAGGACCGCGTCTACGCGGAGAAGGAGAGAGACAGAGAGGAGGAGGGTGGTGTTGCGCGTTCAGCATAAATCTCTATCGTGGTCCCACTTATCGTTAGGACACTTGAGGAAATTCCTTGTGCCGGTTCTTAACGTGATTGTTCAGGTAGCGTTTCTGCCGGAAAGCGAGATTGCACTTGACGCAGACGAACGGTTTGTGCTCCGAATGGATGAGCTTGTGCCGCGTAAGCTCGGATTTGATCCGGAACTTCTTCTCGCACACGTCGCACCCGTAATTCTTCTCGCCGGTGTGCGTGGTCACGTGCGCTAGCACCTCCTGCCGTCGGCGGAACCGCTTGTTGCAGTGCGAGCACGTGTGCGGGAACACGTTGGTGTGTAGCTTGCTGTGGATGTACAGGGACGCCTTGGACTTGAAGGTCTTTCCGCACGAGTCGCAAACGTACGGTCGTTCGCCGGTGTGGATGCGCCGGTGGTCCTCCCGCGTCGCCTTGGACGCGAACGACCTGCCGCACAGGTCGCATGTGAAGTTCTTCAGCTTCGCGTGCACGTCCTTGAGATGCCTGGTCAGCCCGCCGGAGTCGCGGAACTGCTTGCCGCACACATGGCAGGTGAACGGTCGCTCGTCCTTGTGGATCCTCATGTGTCGCAGGTACGAGTCCTTCAGCTTGAAACACCTGCCGCACTCGGCGCACCGGAACGACTCCTCTCGGTGCGACGCGTTCTCAAGGACGTCGCACAGATCTTTATCGTCTTTCTCGTCGTCGAGCATTCCCAGGTACATCGAATCGTCGCTCGAATTTCGAGTTCTCGCGCATTTCTTCTCTCGGTGCGCGACAGCGATCGTCCGAGGCTCGTCGCTGTCCTCGCCGCGATCGGAACTTTTCGCAAAGCCCTGCCTCGCGACGTACTCTTCCTTCACTTCGACGGGCAACCGATCGTTACTCTCCAGCTGCACGGAGGATGGTTGGTCGTGCGCCGTGTCCATGACGCCGATCCAGACCGAGTCGGAGTCCTCGGCCGTCGCGCTCGGCTTTGTCAGGCTGCGCATTCCCGACTGGCGTCGTTTCCTGTACGGCTTCCAAAATGCTTTCGGCGTGTCCGGGGACACTCTACGCGGTGTCCGGACGCCGCACGACCTGCAAAATAGCCGAAACTTGACTCCAGATTTTTGCGGTTGCGCGTGCACGACGCAGCGGACGATTTTGCGATTTTTCGAGCCGGTTCTATCACAGCCGCTCGGTTTTTCTAGGTAATCGTTAAAGCCACCCCGCAGCTGTTCCAGCGCACTGTCATTCTCTTTCTATGCTTTGCTCTTTCGTTAAGCTGTCGCAAAAATTTTCTCGACGTACCCATCGCCAGCAAATCGTTCTTTATTTTCTTTCTTTTTTTTTCTCTTTTAAAAAATGGGCCAGCGAGAGAGTGTCACGATCGTACGTGTGTATTCGACGTCGAACAGTCTCCAGCTTTTCGTGACATATACGGGAAATATGCTTAACAAACTTACGTGGCATTTTATTTACGTTACATTCTAATAATCTATTATCTACGTGCTAGAAATATAGCGATCATGAGCAAACGAATCACATAAACGGGGAACAAGTAGCGAGAGGGGGAGAGAGAGAGAGAGAGAGGGGGGGGGGAAGGAAAGAGAGGGAAGAGAGAACTTCGTGCTTTTTGTACAGTTGATAAATTACGAAAAAATGAGATCATTACCTGTCGGACTTATTATTCTTTACGGTATCGTGAACTTCGTTTTTGTCACTGTCCTGCTGATTCGGCTGCAACAAGACGTTGTAATTGAATTTTTTAACGTATAAAAAGGATTACGTTTCACAATTTCATCATAGGCACTTACCGATAAGTTTGTGATATTAGACGCAATGGTCGTGCTGGCTATTGTAAGCATCGGCGTGGTGACTTCTAAATTATCCAAGGAAGTAGGATTGTAGTACTGCGAAATACGAAGAATATTATAATTAGAATATTGTAGTCGCGAGAAAGATGAGTAAGGAAGCGAGGGATTGTAAAAAAAGGGTCTTAAATGTGCTCTCTAGAAGTCAATCGGTGCATCATCACCGGAAAGTTAAGAGTATAACACTGAATAATTCGGTGCTCTACTCATAGCTGTGAATCAGTGAATATTCACTGTTTTCAGTGATAATCTACTGACAGACTTTTAGAAAGTGAGAGGAGAACGAAACAGTTATAAAGTATAGCGCTGAATAATTCAGTGTTATACTCGCAACTGTGAATCAGTGAATATTCACTGTTTTCAGTGATAGTCCACTGACTGACTCTTAGAAAGTGAGAGGAGAGTGAAACAGGACAAAGCGCGTCCAGGCGGAAACACGTCTTCTACACGGAGCGAATGTTCCCTTAAAATTTATCCTGAAAATATTGTAATCGTGGGACAACGCGGTTTCAAACAATTTTATGAGAGTGTTGTGTACGTGGGTAAGAAACTACGCTGTGTTGTAGTAGAACGTACTCACTTCATTTTTCGTTTTTAAGAATACTGATCCTGGTACGACGAGAGTCACCGTGAGAGTGTCCTGCTAGCGTGCGTTGATACACAGCTCGCGGAAGACAAAAGAAAACGCCCGAAAGAGGCGCGCAAGCCCATGCTCACGTACAAATCATACACGAATCTCCTAACAGAGAGCTTTATGAAAGTTGTTCACAATGCCATGTTGTCCCGCGGTTACATGATTTGCAGGAGAAATTTTAGGAGAAAATTCTCTCCGTGTAGGATATAAAATTAATCAAGATCGGTAGATTAAAGAAATCTGAGGAAGTACAATACGACGGCGAAGAGTTCAGTCAAAGCACAAAGAAAGAAATACATATTCAAACTCTGAACGGGCAAAGGGCAATATAAGTTGCCCTTTGCCCTCGCTCCATCTTATACGCGCTATCTCGTGTTACTCGAAAATCTCAGAGTGCAATAGGAACACAGCTGGCTCGCCAGTTAGCCTCGCCGTGTTAAACAGAGATCCCTCAATCTCACCTGCTGCTTATCTCGCAGTTGCGTCTCCTGCAGCTCCAGCAGCTTTCTCTGCGCGCTCAGACACCCCTCGCTCAACGCGTGCCAGGCTATCAGGATGTTGGCGCAATTCTCGCAGAGCTGCAACGGCAGGGTGTCGCTCCCGGAGACCTGCGAAGAGAGCAATCAGCGGATGATCAACGGCGCCGTTCACCGAGGGCATATTGTGACTACGGCGTTTACAGTTTACACACGTGTATCGGCAAGTACTTGAGTATTTTGCTGGACAAGTCATGCGCCACCCCGTCACCCTCGAAGATGGGCACCATGCGGTCGCTCGCGTTGGCGCATATCCTGCAGAGGTGCATCCACTCGATCGCGATCCGCGACGGAGCCACCGTCTCCCCGGGATACTGCACTATCTGGTCCTGCGAGATGAGGAACAGGTCCTCGTCGGTTCCCTCCGACTCGTTGGGCCTCTCGCGCGTCACCATACTCTTGACGGTCTCCATCAGCATGATGTCCTCGCCGGATGCCTCCATTTCCGGCGTCATCGAGTCGCCGGGCTCCATGGGCCGACGAAGAAGACGGCAACCACGTGTCCCGTATGTCTCCAACGAGGACTCGTCGAGCAGCGATTCGCTCGGCGCGCACGTTGCATGCAGGACGCGTTTGTTCGGTGGTAAAAACAACTTTCTAAAGCTGAGCAGAACTGCGAACGACGTTGGAGCGGGCTCTCGCTTCAGGTTTCAGCCAGCGTGGTCCTCGCATGCGCTTGACGCTCCGCCGAGGAATCGTCGACGGCTTTAAAATGGCATAGAACGCCGGATGCGCGCGCATCCGAAGGGATCTTGATGGCGATCTCCCCGATCTCCCCGCTTGGACGGAACGTGCCCATGTGGTCAATGGAAGCTGTCCGAATTGGTCGAGCCTGCTGACCCGCGCGGGTCTAAATCTTCCTGAAAGAGAAAGGTTGAACGCTTTTAGTTGAACAAATTAGATGAGCTCTATTTCATCGACATTAATGAAGACTATTTGAAGTAGGGCCTGAGTAGAATGGCTGTCTTGTATGTACACTTAAGCATACGACAGTTATTGTGCGTTACTTCAAGACAAAGGCTTGAAACATAAAACATAGGCCGCGTTCAGCAGACACAATTGTTGAGTGAGCGCTCAGTATGATTGGTTAATACTTTTAGATCCAACCAATCATATTAAGAAATCATTGAGCGCTCACTCAACAGTTGTGCTTGCTGAACGTGGCCATTGTCTCAACAGCCGTTCTGCTCAGGCCCTAAGACTCCAAAAAGGGATAGTTCTTGGAAAGTAACCCTAGTAGCACAGTGCATTGAGCAAACATTATTGGTTAAACATTGGCCCAATATAACCAAATATTGGGCCAATGTTTATCCAATGCACTGTGCTACTAGGGAAGTTATCTTCCTTGTCTGTTTAATTGCTCAGTTAATATAATCTTGTACGCAATTTTCAGGATAAATTTTGTAAGAAAATGAATCTTTTTAATAGCGTCCGATGCGCTTTTACATATAATCTTTTACCATGAGATGAATTACCGACCGCCACTGTAGCCAAACCTGAACAAAAATGGAAAAGATTTCGTTATACATATGTGTCTCAATCCTGTAATAACATAATTGTATCTCGAGAAATATAAGTAGATATTACATGATTGAGACGCATATAACGAGATTTTTTCCAGCTTTACCAGTTGCGGTCGGTAATTCGTCTCCTATGGTAAAAGGTTGGCTCAACCAAAAATCGACGAGTGTGTGATAAAATGATTCTTGCAGACGCGTTAATTGCACAAAGTGCTATTCACAGAATCGTTGAAAGAAAGATCCCATAGATCGTTCTTGTTCTTTCCCTGCTACGCTCGACCGAGTTTGAAAACAGAGAAAATACGCGCCATTCGCCTGTACGTTTCTCCTTTTCGCTTCTTCTCTCGATATGCGACCAGAACTTTTGTTTGTAGTCCGGTTAACGTTTGCAGCCTCAAGTTTGTTGAACCGAAACGCGAGAAGAGCCAGCTGCAACGAGCATTGTCATTCGGAGCAACCTTAATTTGTAAAATCTAAAACCGAAGTTTTCGCGCCCTTTTATCCCTTCCTCATTTATTGGACTTGCTTCGGTGCCGCTCGCAAAGGGCACGGCTGTGTGCGTGAATTCAGGCAGGCGCCGGCTCATGAATGTTATCAAAATATTAATTGTTGTCTCTATTTCGCACCCTTCGAAAACTCGACACTCTCTCTCTCTCTCTGTCTCATAATAGATTTGTCTCTCAAATAAATGGCCACGAGCGGCAGTGATGACAGTCCTTGTGGGTGTAATGAGAGGATTACAACAATGTTCTCCTCGCCACCGCGTTTAATTATTAGCGATGGATCGTGCGGCAGAGGGACGGATGGGAAGGGGAAGAAAAACACGATATCCAAGCCAGCGCGATGCGCTTTATTGACCGATCAAACAACCGGATTTCATATTTGCACGCGAGTGACGCCCGCACGCGCGATGTAACCACCGCGATTTAAGGGCGCTCGCGCCCCTCGCAGTCGTGTAATTAAATTGGATATATAATAGCGGGCTCGGTGCGCGAGTTACGCGCGGTAACACGTCGATTCGATAAATACCGGGGGACTCGCGTACAAATCGGTTGTACATTCGTTTGACGAGGGCGACAATTTTACAATTGTAACCTACGCGCTACGAATACCGCGGGGGGGGGGGGGGGATTCGCGCTTATTGTTCTTTGTCGGGGCGAATTGTTCTACAGCTCAAGTGTACGGAAGGTGCACGAAAGTGCAGCTGCGGCGTCGCCGGCGCGTGAAGTTAGCCGCGCGGTTTACGAACGCTCCCCGCCATCTTGGATTCGCAACGTTGCGCTTGCAAGTCGCGGGATCGCGACCTTTCGCGAGTTATTTCTCCATCGCGAAGCAATCGGGTACGTATCGGGTCTGATTCAAGTCGGAGGTGCCGCGGGGAAGTGCCGCGCGATCCTCGTAGTAGAAGTACGCGCGCGTGTAGGCGCGTAGGCACGCAAAAGCGGGTGAACGCTACGGCGAATTTTGGCGGACTCGAAGCCCGTAATTCGATCCGAGGGCTATCAACGAGATTCTACCGGAAAATCGGCCGCGGAGGAATTCCAGGTAGCAAACTGACGTCACTTGTCGTCATTTCGACGTCAAAATGACCGCGAAGTGAGCAATTAATTTGTAACCTGTTAAAGTAAGCGGGGGGGGGGGGGGAAACGCCGAGGGCATTGTGGTGTACAGATTTGCGGCATTGCTACCCAAGGAGAAGAAAAAGTCAGGATGATGTCAATGTGATGTCGTATTGACCAAATTTATGTCAAATTTTGGTCAATTTGATGCCATATTGTCCAAAATTTGGCATAAATTTGGCCAATATGACATCAAATTGGCATTTCCTTGGGTATATGGGCATTACTAGGCATTTTTTTGGGCATTAGGCCTTACTGGGGCATTATAAAGATAAAATAAGATACAGCAATGCCCACTGGGCATTAGTGGGCATTGGTGTACAAGATTTCGGTCAGCGGTTTCCCCCTCGGGGTCATTTGTGGCCGCGAGACCCATTGCTCGTTTATTCCGGCGAAATTAGCGCGCCATTTTACGTCGTATTATTACACGTATAATTAAAATTACCCTGAAAAAAAAAATACGTTCAGTATAGATTTATTCATCATTCGGGTTTTGCGAGATTAAATCACTTAAAATTATTCACTTAAAATGGGAAATCAAATTTTTATCTCTATCAGACTCCCCCTCCCCCTCTTACAAAACGTTTGGATATAAAGTTAAATATTTCTGAAAGACTATTGCGAAATGTTTCGTCGAATATCCGTTTAAGGAGCGAAATCCGGTGGTTATTTTTAAAAATATATTAATTTCTTCGAGCACTGCTGTAATTTGGGACAATCTTTGTTTTACAGATCGCCACTGTGGCGCGTTGGTGAGATCGGCATTGGTGAGTCAAAACGTTTCTTGCCTTTAACTATTTTATCTGTATTGCTTTCTATCAACTTACCTGCATTATTATTCCGTTCGACGATTTATGAGTCCGTTTGACGAGCCTCGCCATGATGATGAGAAATATACACTTTATTAATAATAATTTAAATATACAATATTTAGATTGTTTTAAGAAGCTTGCATATAAAATATCACGGAAAGATGATCTACGGAATGTCTATACATAACACGCAACATTTAATGAATCCGTGACGTGCAACAAAATTTGCATAATTAAAACCCTCACTGTACTTGCTATTACAGTTATAATTCATACTTTTCCTTAAAAAAGTTTTCGCAAAACACGAAATAGTACACAGGCAGTCCTAGCGGCAGCCGAGATAAAAAAGAAAATATTTAATACAATTGGTCTCCATTTTTCGAAACTAGCACAAAGCATTGACGACGAGTGTACGACGAATTGATGACGATCGAATGGTATATTTTTAGATCAATATGAAAAAGTCGCGACAGGAATATATTTATCGCAGTTTTTATATAAATAAAACGGGGAGTTTTATTTAACATATATAAAAAAAATTTGTTTGAGGGCAGTTGGAACGAATTGGAAATCGATGAAACGTTCGTCGGGACGTGAACTCGTCGCCAGAGTGGGCCGGCGGTGATGATCGGGTGAGAGTAATGATCAGACGTCGCAATGAAATCGAATAGTAAATCGTTTATTAGTACGAAGGTGTGTGATAGTGTCTCGAGATTGCCCGCCCCGGCCGCGACACCCTCTCTGATCGAGAGAAGTACCAGGCCGCGACGGTGTGATACCGTGACGTGAACGAGTGTGACAGAGCTTTCTTCATTCCTTAGCTGACGTAAGAGATAGGTGTTAGAGCTAGTTACCCTGTTCTGCGAGCTGGTGCTCCGCCTCTTCGTCGCCGAGCCCGAGGGCGGCGATCTTTCGCCCTTGAGGATCTTCCCCCGGGCCCTCGATTCATCGGGGTGAAACTCGGGACGCTCAGCGCTATCGATACCGAACACCCGCGCGGACACGCCGATTAGATTACCGTAGTTTCGACCGAACTTGACCGTGCGGGGCCGCGCGCTGACCAGGTCGCTCGCGTTTAACCCACGACTAGTAATTCGAGCTGAATTGTTGGCCAAGTTAAATCGGACTACGGCGGGGATTTAATCCACGTCGGGATGCGGATGGAAAACGGGCGCGCTCTCGACGCGGTCGCTTCCGGTCGCTCGAATAAATTTCACCTCGGATTACGCTACATCCGAATTCGCCGTCCGAGCGTCGAATAAGTCGTAACTGAATTCACCAATTCACTCGTGTAACGTAGAGATCGCGCTCGGCGTATCGCCGCAAGATAAGAATCGGATCACGCTTTGACATGCCCTTAACAGTTATGCGCCATTTAAATGGAAATCTAGTGAGACTAGGGGACTCTGTATATATATATATATATATATGTATATTTAGCGCAAAATACAATTTGTATTGTTATTTTCCAAGATTGGAGAGTGCCTCGGCATGAGAGAGCATTCACGAAAAGAAATCCGGAAGGCTTCGGTAGATCGCCGGTCTCCCCTGAGCGTCCCGATAGGGCGACGAAAGGGCGGAACGCCCGTGCGAGCTAACTTTCAAAGAGATGCTACTTGTTACCTCCACTCGAGGTACTCTAGTGCCTATGTTATTGTGTCCTCTGTTTTCTGCCTACAGCGCTAAAACCGCCGCCAAGAAACGGCGGTGCCAAAACGGGGAGAGGGGTGGGGGGGAGGGGAGGGCTGCCGCGAGGACGCGAACGTCCCCGCGTGGAACGCAACAATAAATAATAATAATCTCGCGACTTCGTACACGCGTCCGAAGGGTAAGGAAACCGTTCTCTATTTCTAACTTTCGCGTACGTGCATTCCCTTCTCTTTATTTCCCCTCTCGTCTTCTCCTTCCCTTTGGATCCTCTCCCTTTTCTTCCTCGCTCGCGTTTCGGAGCTGGAGAGCTCGCTAGTCTCGCGCGCACGGTACGGAGCAAC